CTGGTAGCAGCAACAAATAGTAGTAGTAGTAGTAGTAGTAGTAGTGGTAGTAGAAGTAGTAGTAGCAGTAGTAGTAGTAGTAATAGTAGTAGTAGTAGTAGTAGTAGCAGCAGTAGCACCAGTAGTACCAGTAGTACCGGTGGTACTAGTAGTAACAGTGCTAGTAGCGGTCATTGTCGTCGTCGTAGTAGTAGTAGCAGCAGCAGCAGTCGTCGTGGCAGTGGCAGTAGCCATAGCGGTGGTAGCACCAGTAACAGGAATGCCCCTGCCTTTCGGCATAGAGTATAGGGGCAGAGACGCCACTGATAAAGTTTGAGCGGTTGCATATCCCATGGCAGGAGTTTATAGACGGCATTCTCGCGGACCTCTGGAAAGGGGAGGCTGGATGATTCATACCCATGGCTTGAGCAGGCCCTTTTCTTAGTCCTTTTCGGAAAGATGCTGAGGGACACGAAGAAGAAGAGGAGGACGAGGACAGAGCAGAAAACCAGGACGAGACGGACTACAAAGACTTGAGCGACGAGGAGCAGTCGTTTGGAAAAGTGCAGTGTTTGTAGTACAGGCTTGCTTGGATGATGCTAATCTCCCTGCCTTTTGTGGAGCCCGAGTCATATTCGGCTGCCCCCCTTCAAGACTCACCAGACTGACCTTTGTTATTGCAGGCATATCGGAGCAGCTCGTTGATTTTTCGATGTGACTTGCAACCTGCATGCTGCACATAGGTGGGCAGTTATACCGGCAGGGACTTCGGAATTAGGATCTTTCACCGGAAGTGAGTGCACGAGAATAGAGCCGGAATGGGGCAGTGCTTGCATTGGCTCGGGGCAGGACTTCGAGAAGTACGTTGACGAGGTCATGCAATATATTGACGATGACAAGGTGCGGGGTCTTCTGGATCTCTACACAAGTCGAGGATGCATATCCGATCTGCACGGCTGTCGTGATACTACTAGTCCGACTCTATTTTAGCCTATCTGCGAACGCGGAGCTGCCCCCGACTTATATACGGCAAGATGCACCATCTTTCAACAGCCAAAACTTGCCATGGCAAGTAAGTAAACTCGTCTCGGCCAGCCAGCTGCCCGGGTCATGCTCGAAGAGCGGTCTCCTGTTCTCGGCCTGCAAGGACGACGCAATTCACTCCGACGCTCGCCGTGAAGGAGTGGCAGGTTGCGACTTGTGCCCTTACTGTGACTGCCACTGTCACGTTTACTCGCCTTAGAAATCGCGAATCATCGCGAAATGGCGAAGCGCGCTGCAGGTCCCTAGCCACAGCAACAGAGGCCGCAATGACAAATGGACCTGCACTGACTTGTACTGTGTTTGTTTTCGCCGCATCCTTCAACCTGCTATCGTCGGCTGTAGGGCCAAACTCCGAGAGGCTAATCCCTGCATAGTGTGGCTACTATAGAGGCAGCAACAATCCACCCCTCCGTCTTGGCACTTGGTGCTCTATCAGTTTATCAGGATCCCGCGGGGTTGAGCGGTTTTTCTGTCTGGTTTACCCACTTACCCACCATTTGGAAACACCGACATGCACATCGCAGCTTGACCTGCGAAGCTTCAGTTTGCCAAGGACGGGGAGGATGCGGGGGACAAGGATCAAGATGACAAGGCAAAGATCTCGCGTTCGTTCATGTTCCAGGTAGAGGCCTGACGAGACTGCAGAGCCGAGAACCCTACACCGAAGGCTTGTACCTTCAACGTGACTTCGGCGCGAGTGGCAGACTGGCTCTCAGCTTCCAGTGGAGCTCCGAACTCAGCGTGCCAGGAGAGCAAGCCTGGGATTGTAATAAGCAAGAGGCGGCATGGGATGACTTGTGTGTCTAGAGATCCACAAGGGGTCCAGAGTTCGAGTCAGCAGGGTAGTTGGCGTTTAATTTAGAGCCTTGTGTGCGCTTTAGTCCGTGCACCTGCATGATCTTGCATGCAAAAGCGCTGCACCAAATCGGAATAGGCCCACGCGATCGCGTTCAGGATTGTGATGGCAGAAGGAGTTGCGCATAGCAAACGCAGGTATGTATGTAGGCAGGTAGGCAAGCAGGCAGGTTGGTATGTAGGTGCTCTATATATATATATATAGTGGCAGGTCTACAAGTATGTTCAGCACGTAGTTTAGCAACTTATGCTGTTTGTGTATGCGATGTCTGTATGCTTTGCGGCTACTGAATATTTGTGTGTATATGTATGTATGTATGTATGTATGCATGCGTGCACATATGTATCTGCATGTACATGTAGTTGTGGATGTGTGTTTGTAAGGATGTATGTATGTGCGTATTATGCAAGCAAGTAAGTATGGAAGTACGTAGGTATGCAAGTAATTATGAATGCATGCATGTGTTTGTGTGTGCACATTAACAACATTGTAAATATATATATATATGTAGATAGATAGTGTGTGTGTGTGTGGTATGGATGTGGCTATGTATGGAATGTATGTTATGAACGTGTGTACGGGATGTACATTATGTACATTGTGTACTTCATGTCATGCCGTGTTGCGCTGTGTTATGTGATGTGTGTATGTGCGCATCTATCTATCTACGCAAGTATGTATGTCTGTCTGTCTGTCTGTCTGTCTGTCTGTATGTATGTCTGCAGGTATGTATATGTGTATAAATGCATATATGTATGTATGTATGTATGTATGTATGTGTTAGCTTTGTATATTGTTCACTTTAATGTAATTCCCAATGCAATACCGCGAGGTTTATGTAATTTATGTATGTCAGGTATAGAGTTTTTCATTTTGCGTATAGCATGGCACCTTGGTTGTACATATGTATGTCATGGATGTAGTGTAAGCAGTTTCTGTAATGTAGTATGTATGTTATGTTCATGTTGTGCGTTGTGCATTTGTCATGTCATGTTGCGTTATGCTGTGTAAGTACTGTACATGTGCTAGTTATGCAGGGTATATGTATGCACTGTACTGTAGTGTACTTCGTGTGTGTGTCAGGTATGGTATGTTATAGTGCAGTTTGTAGGTGTGGCATGGGATGGCACACATGCGTGCATGCATGTATAACCATGCCAGCTTATGATCCGGTAGGCATGAAACTAGCAGATGCCATGTCTCACTCTCATGTCTAGATGCTGTAGAGCAAATGTTGGTTTTGCTGAGGTGCTGTTGCTTGCTGCATGTCCTGGCTGCATGTTTACCCGGAATGTTGCAAAACTTGCCCTTATGTCGTATCAGACGGTCTTACTGTCTTGCATCGAGGTCTGGCTGACCAACGTACGCTCTGCACACCATCTAGCTAGAAGGTTTTCTGTCCGGGCATACTCATCCGCTTGTACATATCTTGCGGTGCTCTGCTGTAAATAAGCAGGTGCTGTTGTGTCTGCCCTCGTGATGCGTCATATTGCCCCTTCTGGTTTCCGGGTTCGACAAGGGTTCTCCAGAACAAAATGCAAGATTTCTCCTTCTACTATGTGTCTCGGCATACCAGGAGACATGCAAAAAGGTATAGCTGACAAGACTTGTTGGTTAGTTACCAAAACCGTCAGAAAAGACTCCTTTCAGCCTAGCCCGGAACATTTTTCAGCAGGACTTCGGTCCGAGATTCGGAAGCTGGGGCAGGCGTGGCTGTCCCAAATCCCTGTGCCGAAGCTGCAACTTGCATGTCATCTTAGGTTCGGCCTCAACTCTGAACTTTCGAAGCTAACCGGCAAGGCTTGGTTAATCAGAGAAAGTAGGCGGAAGCAGGTCGCCACATCTTTCAGTGTCTGATGCTTTGACATCCTCTGCGGCTAAATGTGATGCAACAGGTGTGCTGATGCTGGCATAGTGTATTGATGATATGTTTTGACATTTGCCTGGCCAGAAGACATTTTTGTACCTCGTTTGCCGGTGCATTGTTGCATACTGCAACTATCAGAGCGTCACTGTCTGGCAATAGAGACCTCTGCTCATTTCTGCCTCATGAGGTCATACATAGTCTTTGGTTTTGATGATGTACATGTAGGTACGGAATGAATAATACCGAATCGCAGAACCCGAAATTGTAGCCTTGCTGCGGTGCTGCTCATCTCCTTGACACGAGCACTGCACCGAGGGCCGAGATCGTCCACGATGTTCAGTCGGGTACATCCGAAGCGGAGGGCGGGAAGCTAGGCCTTCCAAGTGGTTCCTGACTTGCGAGGTTTTGGAGCTGTATGTAGTGTATCAAGATGGGTCCGCTTTGCCACCCAGGAAGAGTGGAACAAAGCCACTGATCTCGGCGAGATTCGCATCTTGGTGCAGTCAACTTGCAAACGGTTTTCCGTTTAGCGGCATGTGTTTGCCGCCTGCACTGTCGAGTCTGCGAGGCTGGAAAAATTGTGCTATGGTGTTTGTTTTAGAAGCTGGGTTGGGAGCTGTTTTGGCTTTGAAGTAGGCGCTGGTAGTTTGGGCTCCGTTGAACCTCTGTCGTTTTGGCGTGATGTCTCGCTGACAAATTATTCCTGATGTGTCTACGGCAAGTTGGGAGACGTATTCTAAGATTTCCCAGTGCTAGGCCATGCTAGGCAAGCACGTGCGTCGCTACTGCACGGCTACATCTTGCAAGTTACGGTCGAACCAAAGAGTAGCACCAATAAGTTAGTAGCGCCGCTTGGATTAGTAACAAAGGGAACAGCATTACCCTGACTGAAGTAGCACAACAGTTGGCATTGAAGAGATGCACGGGGCTATCAATGAGGGTGACTGGCTGACACCTTGGGATGATAATGTGTTCTTGGTGGTTCAGTCAATGTCCTTCGTGGCCTTTCGCTGTTTCTGCCATCCCGTTTCCAGGTAGTAAAAGTCATCGACAAGCGCCTCAGCTACACGATGCACTGAGCACGGTCGCACTCAGTTGGTAAGGCTTTGGCTTCTAAGGACAGAGCACAAGCAGCTAGGCCGTTTGCTGCAGAAACTTCGGGGCTCCAGGCAAGCTACGCTGCCGACGACTGCCTCACTTCCTGCCCTTATCTTCCGAAATGTGCGACATGTGCTGCAGCGTTTGTGAAATTGCGATTCCATTCCTCACTCAGGGCTTGGCCGTGGGAATTTGTGGGCACATGTTTCGCAACGGTACAGGCGCGACACATTTCTTGTGCCAACATGCCGAAGCCTGGTGTTTAATGCTCCTCGGCAGCATTGCCAGATTCGCCTACACAGAGCACACAGTCACGGGCGAGAAGAGGAAACATTATAGTCGCCGGTCGTAGCTAGACAAGAAGAGAACCAGGAGTGGGCTAGCTTGTTTTCGCAAGAGACCGCTGCGGTTCGGCCCATCAAAGAAAGCTTGTGGGCCCTCATGCAAGCAACCTGCAGCAGATGTCTTGAACAAGGTGGATGGAACGAAGCATTATCTGCAAGTCGCGCTTAACATGAGATTGCAAGGACTCTTGCCTGCAAGCTTGAAGTTTTGGACAGTGCCAGTTGCAAGGCTTCGTTCAGCCCATTTTTCGCGGCTGCCTGACGACCAGGGTTTGGCAACTGTCGGATACAACGAGAAGCCCTGAGGCTTCAGATGCAAGCGGCAGAGCCGAGGCGCAGAGGAGGAGCCCTGGCAGAAGCTCTTTGACTTGAAGGGCAACTGGGCCTACTTCAACCGGCTGGCCTCCGACGAGGAACAGGCGTGGCAGCACGTTTGAGCAGCAGAAGAGACGGCTGCCTTCCTTTAACCCCAGGCTCCTAGCCGTCAAACCCGCACATTCTAGGATGAAGGTAGTTGCAGTTGTGGCAAGTACGTCGAGCCGTGGTAGCTGAACAAGTGAGCCAGAGGACAGCCCGAAGAAAGCATTAGTTGAGGACATCAAGACCACCATGTGTCAGGAACTCGAAGCATCAGATTCAGTAGAGGTTAGACTGGAGTCATGAGCGGCGAACAACAGATCAGTCACAATAAGTCAGACGAGCATGCGATATGCGAGCATGATATCTGTTGCGGTTGTGGGAGGCTTTGTTCTGAAGTGGTCGAAAGATGTCCAGGTCTGGAAGGATCGCAACTTCAAGAAGACCTTCTCGCACGGATTATACTTGGAGCAAGTTGCTCGGCTTTTTTCCCATGCGCGCTCTTCTCTGTCATTGCTCAAGCTCGCATCTCAACTGCGGGGTTTGGGCTTCCGAAGCTGAGCGGTCAATAGTGTGCTGCTGTGTCTGTATGGGCTAAATATACCGTGAAGCTCGTACCTCACCAGTGGTGCTGCGGTGTGCACCAGTTCAAGTAGCAAGTCAAAGAGAAGCGGGGGTGAAAGAGAAAATGCGGGCCCCCCC